GAGCGATGCGGGAGACCCCAAGGAGCCCTGCTTTGAGATTTTAAAATTGTGATGAAAATGCCTCACAGAGAAGTGGAAGTAGCTAAAATACAGTGTAAAAACGCAATGAAGGGAGATAATTTTTGAAGCTTTTCATGGAGTGATACTTCCATGAAGCTGTGTTAATATAACAGCTTTGCAGTAACACTGTCATTAAAGGCATTAATATGGAGGGGGGAGGGGGTGGAAAACAGAATCAACCTGTCTGTAGGGGGCTCTCAACGCTCCCGTGTCTGAAAGTGAAGCTGTTGAACCATGGAAGAAACCTAAGGAGGGGCATATTCCAGTACTGTGTCCAGTTCTGGGCTCCTCAGTTCAAGGACAAGGAACTACTGGAGAGGGCCCAGCGCAGGGCCACTGCGATGATGGAGGGCCTGGAGCACCTTCCGTATGGGGAAAGGCTGAGAGAGCTGGGGCTGTTTAGCTTGGAGAAGAGGAGGCTGAGCGGGGATCTTATCAATGCTTATCAATATCTGAAGGGTGGGTGTCAGGAGGATGGGGCCAGGCTCTTCTCAGTGGCGTCCAGGGACAGGACTGGGGGCAATGGCCATAAACGGGAAAACAGAAGGTTCAGCCTGACCATGAGGAAACACTTCTCCACTGTGAGGGTGACAGAGCCCTGGAACAGGCTGCCCAGAGAGGTGGTGGAGTCTCCTTCCCTGGAGACTTTCAAAAGCTGCCTGGACTTGTTCCTGTGTGACCTACTCCAGGTGATCCTGCTCTGGCAGGGGGTTGGACTAGATGATCTCTAGAGGTCCCTTCCAACCCCTGCCACTCTGTGCATTTCTGTGAATATTCAGCCCTGTTTGGCAAGAGATGCTTGATATCTGCTCTGATCCATACGCAGATGTTTCCAGTTGCCAAAAGGAGGGTAGTTGGAGCTGCCCTGAACTTGTGAATACTCTAAAGAGAAGAATTTGAAGAAAAAGCACAAGCTATTCAGTATCAGATCTGTCACTCCAATGGGAACAGGATGGGGTGCACAGCTACAGCCTTGCGGGGCCTGCTCTGTACCCCAGAGCCCATTTCCTGGGGCTTGTCCATGTGTCCTCTTCTAGCAGCAGCAGCTGGGATGGGGATGGCCTTCCCATCCCCTGCCTGCCTCTCCACGGTTGCCTGTGGTGCGCTGCCAGGCCTTCATTAAGCCCTCAGGGCTGACAGCCAAGTCGCTCACGGAGCACTCCCTGGATACGTGCTGTCAAAAAGCAGGTTTCCAAGTTGCCAGGAACTTGCTTTTAAGCACTTAAACTTGCTCATTATGGTTGGATCAGGTGAGGGAGCACTGTCCCAGGCAGCGCGAGGGGCAGACCTGGAGCATTGGCTGACGATGGACCGGAGAAGCAGTTTGCGAATCAGTAAGGTCCATCCCGTCTGCAGCCACAAAGGGCACGTGAAAAGTGTCCCGCAAGGAAGCTACCGCACCCCGAGAATCATTCGAGTGTGGAAAGTGGTTGGGAGTGGAAAAGAGAGGGGGACAAGCAGCTGTGCGGCCCCAAGAAGGGAGCTGTTGCCGCCCCTAGCCTGCAGATAAGACTCCTCTCCCGGTGTTTAATGTAGCCTCCTGTGAGAATCATCGGCCTCTCCCGCAGCCGCCTGTAGCTGAGGAGGCAGAGCAGACACTTGATGGAGCTCGAGTCGAATTTCTGTCTGATCTTCTGCTGATGCAGAGGCCGTGCCTGGCGAGGCTTTGCCTCCGGGTCTCCTCTCGGAGCTGCTCTAGCTTGTGCGGATGCCGGCTTTCGGGGCTTGGACTCGGTACCATAGAGCTGTGGGCACGCTGCGTCAAGCTAGCGACTTTGCAGAGAGCTGTACCTGCCTCCCAGGGAAAGCACGCGGGATGCACTCCAGGGGTGGCGGCTGCATCCAAGCCGAGATGGTCCCAGAACCACGGGAACACCCGTTGCGGCAGAAGTGGGGCCGTTGGTACCAGTTTGCACGCTCCGGTCCCACGGCACCTTCTGAAGCTGAATACATTAGCCTGTGCACCCCTCAGAGAGGGGGTGGTATGCCAGCATCCGCCTGAATGCTGAGCAGCGCACTCCCGTGCCATGCGCAGGGAAGGATGGTTTTGGCAACTAAGGGTCTTTTTAAAATGCCTCCTGCTCGTTCAATCCCAGTTTAATCACATTACATAATCCCTTAAGGACATCTTGTATTTACCGGTTGCTGTTCACAACGTATCACTAAAAGAAGAACCAGAATTATGTCTCCCTGTCATTTTTGTTTCTTCAGTACTTGTTCTCTTCCATTTAGCTATTTATTTTTGGTCTGTCCATGACGGCTGAGTCATTGTTAACTACTTTATCTTTGGATAAAAACTCCGAGTGCCCAATTTTGCACCTCCCTCCTCTTCTGCCCCGGTTCTGCCACCGCGGAGAAACCTTTTGTTTCTCCTTTCCCTGCTTTTTATTTTTCTCTCCCCGTTTCGCAGGAGGATAGGCAGACCATTTTTAACTGTCCCAGATTACAGTTCGAGAAAGGCGTGAAGTTGAACAAAGGTTTCTCTTCGCTTCTGTTGAACTGACACGTTATTTCTGTGGCAGACTTTGAGTCTTTGATTTTAACCAGCTGCTGTAAATGTACAGAAGTAAACAACAGAATCTATAAACAGTTCAATACAGGAGACTTGATTTAGTACCTTACAAGACAAAGCAATCAATAATCTATTACACATCTAATCACGGGCAGGAATAGGCCAGGAGCCCTCGGCACAGCGTTCCACCAAACGCGGAGGGCAGCGGGAGATCACAGGAAGGGGGACACAAATCACCCAGATTGCAAACGCCTCACTTGGATTAGATCTAGAAATGCAAATATTCAAATTCAGCCATCACCTCTCGCTTGGAGTGAGTCACGCTATCTGGAGACCAGTTGCTATGGCAGAGAGCTGTAGCAGTGGCAGGCGGCCAAGAATCCCGCCTTTGACACGTTAACCGAATTTAACTCTTGGCTTTTCCCAGACAAGGTTCATTACTTTGTGTGCCTGTGTCATATTAAACGAGTACTCTGCCTCCCCTGCGCACCGGTTTGGAAGGGATGTTATTAATCACCGGGACAGCAAAGCAGGTCAATAACAACCGCAGGTCAATAACAACCATTTGTCAATAAGGATTTCTTTTTACATATCTTCAAGTCCAACATGTGATAGCTGCAGGGCCTTTTGTCCTTTAATTCTTCTTCTCTGCTCTCCTCTCCAACTCGCCTCCGAGCTTTAGGTAGGTTGTACCCAGCTCACAAGTTCCTGGACACACTGAGGGCATCCCCACAGCGCAGGCACCATCGATGGTGCGAGGAGGAGATCCTCTGCTTTGAACGGCTACAGCCAGACACGCTGCTGAGCCGTTTCCGTGACAATCTAGGCTGCTGTCCGCAATACCCCCCAGGAAAACCAGGAGTTTAGACTTTAGCCAGGAAGAGGCATAAACATCAGTTTGAAAAGCAGTTTTGTGAGTGGCAGAACTACCTACACGTGGAATCGATGCACAAGCTCTTCTTTCAGCTGTCTAAGATGCAGGCCTGGCTCCCTCCTCAAAGCTACCTGCAGGCATCCGTGCTGTGCTTCCGCTTGAAGAGATCCATCCTTTTCAGCCGCGTAAGTGTGACCTCTCATATTTAGGTATTGGGCCAGACTGGGCAATTTCGGATTACCAAGATCCAAGGAAACACTAGATTAAACACTATCAAATATTCAGGCAACGGTGCTTCCGACATCTTTTCTTTAGCACTTAACGAGGAGATACTAAGGAGGACACGGACACTGGAAGTTAACAGAGAACAGCAGAATAAACCAGATGGCGTTACTGTGAAGAAAACTATCAAAGAGGATAGCGTGGGGAGAAGAACTGCATCTGTAGTTACAAAGATGCAGATTCACAAACCGTGGTAGGGATTTCTTCTCCCAGAAGCACAGCAAAGGCATTACTGTCGCAGTGGAAAGGGTCTGTACGTGGCCTACTGCGTTCTGAGGTTACAGCAGCAGCTGAGATGGCGACGGTGAAGTTGGAAGTGTTGCTGCGTGGTGTGCTTGCTCCAGTCTGTGCCTCTGGAGTTCTGCCCAGTCCCAAGAGCAGGTTAATGACCATGTGCCTCTGTAAATTCCTCTGGAGACTCTGGAACATTCCACGTTCCAGCTCAGAAATCTCGTTCTGACTTTCAACACTTGTCTTCCTCTATGGCATGATTCCATCTTCACAGATTCACAGAGTGGAAGGGGTCAGAAGGGACCTCTAGAGATCATCTAGTCCAACCCCCTGCCAGAGCAGGATCACCTGGAGTAGGTCACACAGGAACAAGTCCAGGCGGCTTTTGAAAGTCTCCAGGGGAGGAGACTCCCCCACCTCTCTGGGCAGCCTGTTCCAGGGCTCTGTCACCCTCACAGTGAAGAAGTGTTTCCTCACGGTCAGACTGAGCAGGAGTGAGTTCGGGAGGTGGAGTGCTCTTGCACTCTCTCACGCTCCCAACAGACTTTTGACTGTGTGCTCAGACCTGCAGGAGTTACTCTAGAGACGGGAAACACAGAAGCCCTACACAACGTGCGGGACGCTGCTAGACAGCGCTTGAAATAACCCCCGTGTTCTCTGTCACCTTTCATTAACCATGATTTCGAGAGCTGCATCTTCTCTTCTCCTCTCAAGATACACTGACAATCAAGTTGTTGTTTTGTTTTTCTGGTGTTTTTTTTTTTTTTAATTAAAACAACCCTAAATCATATACACTCCTGATTTTTAATTTTTTTAAAAAACTAATGAATCACAGTAACATCTCAGCTTCTTTTTCTTTGGTAGATATACATCTAAATACCATTTGATGATACATGTTTTCTTGTTTAATGTGGGTCCTTAGATCAAGTGCAGAATATTCACTGTAACTTTGCAGGCCACAGATTAACCCTTTGAAGCCCCAGGATCCCTCAGGTACACCGGTGGTAAAGCAGGAGGTTCACTGAAAACGTAACTACGGGGAACATTTAAAATGAACCATTTATTAAATCAAACTGTTATTTTAACAGTTACATAAGTTACACAGCATGTTTCAGTCAGAAGATTTCACAAGGGGGAAAAAAAAAAAACCCAAACCCTAAATTTTTATTATGCAGGCAGAAATAGTACCACACAATATGTACCTGAGAGGGAAAAGGGAAGGGGAAATCTCTAAACATTCAAATAAGGCCATAATTATTTAAAAACAACAATAAAACAATAATAAAACCCCCCCAAAGATCCATTTCCCTTTCAGTGTGTTCAGTGCCGCTAACTATACGTACTTTTCGCGTACAGATGGAACCGAGGCAGTGACACCTTGACAGCTCGGTTTCATGCTTCAAAACACGACCAGAAGTGGAGTAAGGCTCATCAGTACCTACAGCTGCCCTTGGAATGTCAATCTCAGTTGCCTTCATTAACTTAAAATTCACAAAGTGCACAGTTAAGATATGCCAAAAAATGGAAACTGCTACTCTACCAACAGCTGCCCATGCTTAATACTTAGTGGTCTATTGGAACAAAGGGCGTTCTTCCAAAAGAGATGTGTAAGAAAAGCCACTGTAAAACACTTAGTTTCAAAGATGCACTAGGAGCTTCCTGTAAACCGCAAAGTAGAAAAACATGGATTAATCATGTAAAGAAAAGAATACAAAAAACACTAGAAATGACCATCAAACGTTCAAAGAACAAGCACCACAATGGACATTAGCATTCGATCTTGCAGCGTACGGCGATGTCGTAATTTCACTCTAGCCAATCCACTTCATCGAACTCTGAATCGTCTTCTGAATCACTGTACTCCACAGCGATGCGACGAGAAAGTATAGTAGCAACGTCATTCTCGATGCGCTCGTGTTTAGCTTCTTGTTCCCGCTGCTCTTCCACTTTGCGTAGCTGAATACCTGAAGAACATCAAACCACAAAACATGTTGCTCTCCTCCCTTACCGCTACCCAAAGCCTTCAGCTCACGAAGGCTCTGTAAGCAAAAAGGAAGGCTGAGGCCATCGTCCTCCTCCGACAGAAGTTCTCTGTCAAGTTTTTACAGAGGGGAGCACTGGAATGGGAATGGCAGACTAGGTCATCTGTCCTTTTACAAGAATGTCCCGCTTCTGATTGCCTAAAAACACACCCACATTTTCAGGACCATTGTAGGTGATTAAGCCACGTGATTATTTGCATTTCCAAACAATTTTCGTACTTTCTTCATGGACTCAGTTAAAAGTTAGAGCTATTTCGGTATCCTAACAAGACAGGATTTCTTGCAACTCAGTTTTGATCAGGTAATGACCTGTTTTGGGATAAAGCATTACTTAAAGATTAAGCACAAAGGAGAAAAAACACATACCCATAACACGAGAAAGTTAAACCCAGTAACCGGCGTTAAAAATACGAGAGAGAATGTGTATTTTGGTTTTCTACTCCCGACACGGTCTAAATACAACCCACATCCTCCCCGCTGCCCACTGACAGGCAACACAAGCAGAGGGCCTGCGTGGAACTTAAGCTGTGCTAACTCGAGCCTTGGTTTCTGGTGCAAAACTTGGTCAAGCGTTTTCAGGAATCCCCTAAATTATACCAGCAGGTTCGGCTTCTTGAAGTTTTTTTTGGTGGAGACTGCTTTGCTACTGCGTTGGGACTTGTCAAGATTAGGTGCTTAACAGCTTTAAGGCTCAAGCAGCAATTTTTGAATGTCATTTATATGTTGTTGGAATACACCGGTACACGATTAGAATTCCAGTGACAATCGATCTGTCCTGCTTTTATTGAACGGCCTGTGGAAAACAAGGGGTTTGTGTTCTACTCAGTATGTAGGTTGTCAGAAATAGCTCTGTGTCTAGTTAAACAGAACTGGGGAGATAATCTCCACAGATCACCTAGAAACACAGGTACTTTATTTTCTTTTTAAACCTAACTTCCACAGAGGAACAGTTTTGCCATCCAATTAAATACGTGCAATTACAAACTGGAAAAAAATCTGTCTGCTTGGCAACGCACACGCCGCAGAGAGCAGAAGAGACAGACTTCAGATGCGCTCCTGTAAGCGAACTTCTCACACATGTGCCATCTCCCAGAGACAACATGTATTCAGCAAGTTTCTGAGACCGTTCTTTTCCCCCCTTAACAGCCAGACATTACCTTTCCGTATTGCTTCCAGCAGAACGCTTCTGGCATCACTGATCACAGGAAGAGTTGAAGGATGGCGTTTGGGTTCAGGAGCAGGAATCACTTGGGATGGTGGGGATGGAGGCATTAGGGGGGCATGAGGGCCAGGGACAACAGTTGCGGGAGGAGGGTGCAGAACGGGAGGTGGGTGCGAAAGGGCTGCAACTGTGACAGGAGAGGAGGGTCGGATGCCAGGAGGAGGCAAGGGAGGAGGTGGGGGTGGTGGGGGAAGTCCCTGTGCTTCAGCCTGCGGAGGAACTGGGTGAACGGGTACAGCTTCGCACACTTGGGCAGCTCTAGTGACAGGAGGAGAGGGCTGTGCTAGGGGAGGCGCAATCGGAGGTGGAGCTGGATGTAAGACTCCGGGAGCTATCTGGAGAGGAGCTGGTGGAGGTGGCACAGCTGGGGCCTGCAGAGCAGCTGTGGGAGG